TACTGTGCTCATTTGTTTGTTTTGTTGACTAGGTTCTACTTAGAGGTGAGATCATATGGTATTTGTCTTTCACCTCCTGGCTTATTTCATTTAGCATAGTGCTCTCCAGGTCCATCCATGCTGTGGCGAAGGGTAGGAGTTCCTTTTAAAAATTATCCTTTTGCAACCTCTAATAGAATAATTCAGGGAAAAATCATTGATGGAAGAAATGATTCAATCAGCAATGGAGACGTCAGTTTGTCAATTTAGCATCACTAAAGTAAGACAACTTGAGATTGTATGCCTCTTAATGTGATATAATTTAAAGTGTATATGTACACTAGGTCCTGGCTGGGTAGCTCAGTTGGTGAGAGTGTCGTCCCCATACACCAAGGTTGCAGGTTCCATCCCCAGTCAGAGCACATACAAGAAGCACCCAGATGTCATGTGCGTGAGTCTCTGCCTGGGTCTGGTGCTCTGGGCTTGGGAGCCCAGCATAGGGTTGAGACCTTATGCTCCCCTAAGGGAACCTTGGCAGCTGAGATGTTTCTCCAGGTTCTCAGCCACTGCCTGTGGGAGCAGAGCCAGTCCTTCTGCATCTCCATCCTTTCTGTGCGTCCTGATGTGGCTTTTCTGTAAATCCTTGGTCGTAGGATTTCTGTTCAGGTAGTCTTAGGTTGGTTATTTAGGTTGATTGTTCCATATTTTAGTTGTGATTCCAGTTTGGTCCTTTGGTCCCAGGAGGAGGTGAGTGTAGTTTCCACCTACTCTGCCTGCTGTTTTCTTGATGCTTTTTAATGAGGATTTAATTTGAGGGAATTTTTTCTTTTTAGTTTTTTTCTTTTTCTTTTATGTTTTTTCCCCTTTATGTTCATGCTCTTTGTACTCTAAGAAATATTTGCCCACCCCAAGGTTGTGAAGATATTCTCCTTTATTTTATTCTAGCAGCTTTATTGTTGTAGACTTTATGTTTAGGCTTATCTTCCATTTGAATAGATTTTTGTTATCATATTAGGTAGGGACCAAGGTTCGTTCTTCTCTTACTGCTTTCTCTTATTGACTTTTCAGCACCACTAGTGGAAGAGATTTTTCCTTCTTAATTGAATTACTTCAGCACATTTGTTCTAAATTACTTCCCCAAATGTGTGTGTGTGTGTGTTACTAGATTCTGTCTTCTGTTCCATTCATCTATTTGTCTAACCTTTGACTTAATTACTGAAACTCTATAGTAAGTCTTGAAGTCAGTAGTATGAGTCTTTCAACTTTATTCTTATTTTTCAAAAAATTTTGGCTATATTTTTCCCTTTACTTTCCAAGTAAATTTTAAAGTCACATTGCTAACTTTTTAAAAATAAATCTATTAGAATATGAGTAGGATGGCATTTAATCTATACAATAACTTAGATGAACTGACATCTCAACAATGATACCTTTTCCTGACCCGTGAAGAAAGTATTAAACTCCATTTATTTAGATCTTGTTTAGTTTCTCTCAGCAGTATTTTTTTTTGTTTTCAGTGTAGAGTACTTACAAATGTTTTGTTAAAATTATCCTTAAGTTTGCAATGTTCTTTAATCCTATTTTAAGTCATAGAGTTTTCTTGATTTTATTGTCTAATTGTTCACTATAGTATATAGCGAAATACAATGGACTTTGTTACATTTAACTTGCATCCTTCAACATTAAGAGTAAAATATATAATTTAAGAAAACTTCCCTGATAGAAAAAAATACATACTTAAAAGTACATGTTGAAAATTATCAACCCAGAATGACTTTCTAGTAAGATTATTGGACTTAAAAGAAAAGAATTTGACCAGATAAGCAAAAAGAGCACGTTTCTTGTAAGTAATTTATAAGAGAAATAATATTAGATTATTGTCTAAGTTTTCAACAGCAACACTTTGTCGTAAGAAAATAGTCATATATTTAAAATATGCAAGGAAAAAAGGTGAGCCGTTGTGAATCAAAACTGGCTGACAGAGATATGATGGAAATTCTTTTTGAGGAAGATTATTCTAGCAGCCTTTTAAGGTACAGATTAAAGTGGGATATCACATCATAAGGTATATAAATGCCAAATCACTATGTTATACACTTGAAACCAATATAATATTGTATGGAGTTAGTCTTTAACTGCACTATCCAATATAGTAGTCACAAGCTCATGTGGCTATTGAGTGCTTAAAATGTGGTTTGTGAAACTGAAAAAGTGAGTTTTAAATTTTATTTAATTGTAATTCATTTCAATTTATATAGCATCATATAGTTAATGATTACCATGTTGGACAACAGCAGATGTAGGCTATTTAAAGCCTAAACACTGGACTGTGCCTAAAGAAATGGAATTAGAAGAGCATATCCTGGAGGCATAATGGAAAAAAGAAACAATGTTTTCATGGGGGAAATGCAGATTTAAACAATTCAAAGGCAGTGTACTGGGAGAATGTACCTTACACTACACTTACAAATTTTATTGGATGGTAGTACCATCCAATAAAAAAGGTATACTCTCCATGGCTATTTTGAAAAATAGATATCTTAACAGGTTGAATTCCCAGTGATAAGGGCACCTCCAAGTGCAAATACCTATAAAGAATTAGAAATCTCACACTGAATTGGGGCAGGAGGTCAAAGAAAAAAGTCTTTTTTTTTTCATTTTTCATTTTTCTCTTGAGAGAGTCTCTCTCTGTCTCCATACACCCCTTTACAGAGATTGCCTTTTCCACCTTCTCTTGAGAGACCCTGATATATGGCATAATAATGATGGTTCAGAGAAGTTACTATTGCACCTACTGGGTGGTTAATATGAAATCAGTTCCTGCAACACTTAGTGGTGTGGAGAGGATCAAGGAGAAATTTGGTTTTGTTTCAGAAAAGAAAAACATAAGATAAAATGTTGCTCTGCCTATACAGAGTATTTTTCATCTGAGAATCTCTGCATACTCAGCACACTTAATTAATAAGAAAACCTCAAAGAAAGTGATTAAAAAAAAAAAAAGGAAAGGAAACAGATACTAGTGTTCTGTTGCTATGATTTTTAAAAACCAAGCTTGGTGTTTTCCTCTTTCATTAATGCACAAGTGTAGCCCTATGGGGCAGCCACAAGATGTTTATCTTTCTGCTGAATGATTTCTCTTGAAGGCATCCCACTTAGGAGGGAGAGTAACCACACAGAATCCCACCCCCCAACTTTATTGATGTCCTGCACTCTATTAGCAAGGGAAATCCATCGTATCACCATAGTGCGGCAAGCATTGTATAATAATCCAGTCTGCACTGTCCCTGGAAAGATTGTTTTGTTGCAGAATGGAGCAGGTTATCTCCTTTATCAAAAAATTATTCAAAACAAACATCCATAAATCTAGGACTAACATACATTGAAAGAGGATAGGCAGGGCCTCCTCCTTGGTAATTTATTGTGTAATCTTCCTTTCACCTTCATTCAAAATCCCTCAGAGATTCAAACTCTCATTTGCAAAAATAAAAATTCTTCTCTAATTATTTATAAGTGTAGTGTAAGGTACATGATTTGACCTTGTCAAAAGAGATGTGCAGTAATGTATCCTGGCATTTATTTTCATCAGTTGTGATGAGGATAGATGCTGGGTTGTTTTTATTTTTGTTCTATACTGTCTTCATATTTCATATTTTTTCTCCTTCCCTTCTCTGTACTCAAAAAATGAAAATATTTTTTTAAAAAGCCATTCTGCCAAAAGAGGAAATACCTTGAAAGATCATGGCTTTTAAAGATTTTTACTAAGAGTTTGATGTTCTGTAAAGTAAAACTAGCTGCCATGTGCAAAAACAGCTATTTTTTGTTTGAAGAAAAGAAGATATTGAGAGAGTTCAGGTTTTGTTTTCACTCATCTGAACCTTCGATATACATCACCAGGTATATATAGCTCTTTTGCTTCTAGCCCACAGCTCTCTTGTATTCTCTGAGCCAAGGACTTGAGATTTGTCACCATCCTTCCTTGAGAGTCTTTCTTTCATCATCTTACCTTTCTCATCCTGTACACAATACACCTTGTTTGCCCAGTGATGTGTGAGATTACATTCTCTCCTCATTAGCGCTGAAAACCTCCTGGCGCCATCAGATCGTCATTGTCCAATAAGATACACAGTGACCTTTCCATTTGAGCACCTAACGGGGGAATCTCCGAGAGCCGATCTAACACTGTTCAGATTAAATGTCAAATTCTCAAAATTCAGATGGGTTTGGAATCCACCTAAGTATACTTTTCTGCCCCCATTCCCAGTAGTCTACACAGTACACTGAGTAGCAGAAGCATTTTGTAATATCACTTAAGGCTTTAGCACCATGGAGTTCTGCCAGTAATGATATCTAACTCACTTATATGTGCCAATTCATCTCTGTCAGGAGTCTATTAATTTCTTCACTATTTTATTCTATCGCTAGTCCCTATATAATGAGACACAATGGTTCCCATTTATTTCACCAAAAAACTTACAAGTCTCTTATAAATTGCATCTGATCCCAACTGCTTTTAGTGACCAGAAAGCCTCTGTATTTCTTTTTCACATTCAAATCAATTTTGCAAGCTCTTTTATTTAGAAGAATACACTGGAACTCTAGGGCACCAAATAACTGAAATCATGGACAGAGTATAAGATTCTGATGGGATCTTTAACATGCATCCCTGTTCCAAAGCAGGCTTCCATAATATCACACCAAAAATGTACTGTTCCCATCAATGAGCACTTTCCACTTATAGAGACAGAATTTTAATTGGAAATCGGCCTCTGGCTCTGCAATCAGCCCAGTCATCTGTGGGAAAAGGTGTTAAGATATACACAGTATTGCTATAAAAGTAAAGGCACTGTAACAAAGTCCATAGATATAAAATTAATCCCATAGAATATGCTATTTGCACTTCTGCATGATATGGTCTTGAGTATAGAGCAAAGTGACTAGGAAGAATTAACATACAGTCAGGAGAATATATCATTGTATTAGCATATAAACACATATATCTCTATCTGTTCTATGTTTTTCAGGATTGGAGCAAAACATCAGGAGCTAAGGGAAAAGCAGGCAAGAGGTCTCATTGATTATGCTACTGGTACAATTGGATCATTGCATGATATGGACGATGATGAAATGGACCCCAATTATGCCAGAGTGAACCACTTCCGGGAACCATGTGCATCAGCAAATGTCTATAGGTCTCCATCTCCCCCTCGGACTGGACCGCTGGTTTATCCTCGAGATGGCCGTCCATTGTCTCCAGAGAGAGACCACTTAGAGGGTCTCTATGCCAAGGTCAACAAGCCATACCATCCACCAGTGCCAGTGGACAGGTAATATAACTTATTGAAAGATGAATATAGTTTTAATTTAGTAAGTTTCAAATCATCTCTACTTCTGAAGCGGATAAAAATATATCCTTCAAGCTATTAAAACAGAAATGACGTAGGACCCTTGACAAGTGCTATGCTTTGACCTAACTGTAAGGTATCAGCTATCAAAAATAAAACAATAGCCAGTTATAAGATGACATGAATGAGTAATAGAAGTTGGAGTTCATGGTACAACAGGGAGTGATTTGTGAAGGAATATTGTGACAGAGAACTAACGGTGCAAACTTTGAAGGAATACTGTCCTTTCTCCTAAAAGCCCTACTGTCTTATTTAAAAGAAGTAAGGAGCCAGAGGAGAGATGACCATTTCGAAGTAGGTGTAATTGAAGCAGAATCATACATCGCTGCAGGGGTGCAGAGGACTTTAAAAAGTAAGATTGGGATTTTCTACTCATGGAAAATGTGATCCTGTACAGATATTCATGGATGATCAGAGGTAGAAAAAGAGATAATCTTGGCAATAGGAGTTTGATGAAGTAGAGAAAGATAAGAACTGACAAGGCCAAGGATCTTTAGGTATAGCAGCTAAGGAAAGAGATAATAGGACCGTCTGTCATGCAATTGAAATAGGTAGGGAACGAGATGATTCCAACCCCACCTCCTGCCAAAAGTAAAATGCCTCATCTCTTGAAAGGCTGATATAAGAGAGTGTTAGTCAATATACATTGTTAGGTGACCCTTAGAATTACACGGGCAAAGAATGCGTTTACTGACCTTGGCTTAATCTGGCTATAGCTTGAAGTCTGGAGGGAGGCTGTGGAGGGGGAAGGGTATAAGGCACAAAGAGCTCTCATTCTAGATGGAAAGAAAAACTTGTTTTCCAGGTTCCTTTTGGTCCGATTAGTAACCAACTTTTGTGTGATAGTATGATATATTACATATGTTTACCGTTTACATTTCCCCAGCTGGGTGATATTATGCACTTTCAATTAGGTTGGGGAGAAGCAGGAGAATCATGGCATTTTTATGCAGACTGTAAAGTGTAGCTTCGCAAGACTGATTACCTTTCAGAGCCTTTCCAATAACCAAGTGGGAAGGAAGGAGCAATTTTTAATCCTTACTGTCAAGCTTGCAGGTTGATAGTATTAAAGAAAGATGGTCAAGTTTTTCTTTGGGATAAAATGAAAATATAAATTTCTATGACTGTGTGAGACAGCCATAATAACTAAACTGTTAATTCAAACAACTGATTAAAAGTCAGCCTTTTTCTCCCAAGCCTTTATATAAGGTTGAATTTTTGTCATATAAATGATAATACCAAGCATGAGTCTCTTCTGGCCCAGACCATAGGAAATCTTACTTTCTCCAAATGAGATAGGTCTTTATAGCAATCTGCTAGAATCCCAGAACAGCCCTTTTTCTAGGAGCTTCCAAAGCCAGTATTTCTCCATTCTAATTCCAGGAAAATAAATATGATGCATGCCACTGAAAATGTTCACTGGTCAAATGCTATGGAGAATTCTGGATTAAGCAACACTGTCTAAGCTTCCTTACTCTGGTCCTTTTATCTCCAGCATACTCGTATGCATTGTCAGTCTCTACGAGGATCATACAACAATCAGCATTTACGACTCCCCAAATTTTTGTCACGTAGTGCTTATTTCCTGCCCCCTCCCCCAGATCTTAAGGTTATTCTTTGGAATACTAGGAGACACTCTGCTGAAGCTAATTCTCACACATGTAAATTTGACTAGGAAAGAAATTTTTTAGACTAGTCATAACTGGAGCTACTATAGAAAGATATCAGGAAAAAAAATATGTAATTACTGCCCAGCACAGACATGTGTATAATAGTCTTCCCTTTGACTCCGATCTCTTTGTATTAATAAATGATCTAAAGTTTTTTCAGTGGAGCTTTAGGCAGGTGTCATATTTTGGGATAAGAGATTAAAGTGTGATTCCTTATACTCAGAATTTTCTTTATTCTGCCCTTTATTTATATTTAAAGATTGTTCTGCCCCTTGTTCTTTAAGTTTTAAAGAAGTTTTGTCTTGGCACATAAACAGTATTCAATATGTTAGCTATTATCATTAGCATTGTTGTTATTATTACTGTCCTTCACCAATGATGTTATGAACACTCGTGATATGCTGGGACCAGGTGAGTCTAAGAAGAGAGTTGTTGTGGGAGTTTCCCTAACAGTGTCTGTAGCAGAAACTATGAATTCTAAACCTACTAGATGTACTATTAGAGGCATGTCATTCTTTCATCCTCTGTTCAGTCTTTCACTCTTTCAATAAATATTTGTTTGGTGCTTACTGTGTTTGTAGTAAGCTCTAGGGAAGATACAAACATGACTGAGATATGATTCCAGTCTAAAGGAAGTCATGTTCTAGTTGGAAGGGGATGAAGTCATGTGGAAAGAGATCATTACAATATACTGTGAACAGAAGAAAAAGAAGCTTTCTCTTTTAACTCTGCTGCTCAGGCAAAGTCTTCAAAAGGAAGTGATATTTGAACTGGTTCTGGAAGGATTGGTAAGAACTGACCAGATCCAGCAGAAAAAATGTTTTCCTTATAGAATAATTAGCATGTACAAGGGAGAAGTAGCCTGAAAGATCATGAGGATATATCAAGGAAGTTCAGAAGCATCCAGAACATGGAGTAAGCATAGGAGAGAAAGTGATAGGAAATAAGGCTGGAAAACCTATTCATCCAGATTGATTGGTAGTAGCTGTCCAGAATCTGTGTTAAGAAGGGTTCTGACTATCATATGACCCAGAAATTCCACCTCTGGGTATTTATCTGAAGAAAACAAAAGCACTAATTTAAAAAGACACATGCGTCCCTATGTTCATTGCAGCATTACTTACAACAGCCAGTTATAGAAACAACCTAGATGAAAGGATATCTGGGATATCAATAGGTGGAAGGATAAAGAACACATGGTATATAGAAATATATGCTATGATGGAATATTACTCAGCCATACACAAAAATGAAATCTTGCCATTTGTGATAACATGGATTGACCTGGAAGGTATTATGCTAAATTAAATGTCAGAGAAAGTCAAATACTGCATGATTTCGTTTACATGTGGAATAGAAAACACAAAACAAATGAACAAAATGGTAACAGACTCAGACATACAAAGAACAAACTTATGGTTGCCAGAGGAGAGGGCAGGGAGATAGATGAAAAATAGATGAAGGGGATGAAAAGGTACAAACTCCCAGTTACAAAATAAATAAATAGGCCGAGTAGTATCCATTTGGGCTCCTAACCTCTTAATGGCAGGTAAACTCATGGCCTTTGGAATAAGACTGAGCTGGGCCCAGTTTTCTTCCAGATACTACAGCCTGACCTTCAGTAAATTAATGTCTCCAAAATGCTATTTCTCAACTTCACACATATACTTCAACAAATATTTCTTGCCTACTAAATACTAGGACCTGAGTTCAGTATGGTGCTCATAGGGGAAAAAATGTGGAACATGGGTACCTATCTCCCCTTGTGGAGCTTATAGTCCAACAGAGGCTACTAAAATGGAAACACACAGTGAGAACACAATGTGAGAAGTACTACTGTACAGAGCACTGGGTAACTGCTGCAGCCAGGGCTGTTGGATGGGAGGCACAAAGAGCAGCATGGAGGCAAGAGAAGGCGCAGAGTGTTACAGCAACTACAGGAAGCTCAATAAGCTAGAAAGCTGAGTGAGAGGAGTCCATGGCAAGATATCAAATAGGAGAGTCAAAGAGGCGAGCAAAACGCAGATGACAGACTCTTGATGAGGTGCTTGGACTCTCTCCTCAGACATGGGGCAGCAGTGAGGTGGGGAAGGGATCACTGAGGATTTTAACATGAGACATAAATCCTGGGATTCAGCTGGCTATTAAATGGCTGAGGCAGTTTATCCTCACATGTTGAGATGGTTAAGTGCAATTTTACATTGTGCATTTTTTGGTATTGCTATATATATGTCTCCATATATCTCTATATCACAGGAATGTATCATATATATGTGGCCCACAGTGGCTTCCTAATAGAGGCATCAGCTGCCTCTGTCTGCTTCTCAGGGCTTGACCCTGAACTTTCAGCTCTTCTAAGAAAAGCTTGGCTTATAAAGGATTCATCTGTAAATGATGGTAGTTAAAAAAAAAATCCCTACCACTATGACAGAATCATAGGACTGGATTCTCATGGTGCTAATCCTTCCAGGATATGAACATAGTATGGGTTAAGTCCTGTTCCCAAAAGCCCAGCAACTACTTAGGGTTTATAATGTGTTAGTCTCCACTGCAACACTAGTGGGTCCCACAATATATGAACATTAAAGCTTTATGTTTGCATGAATTTAGAATAGTACCAAGAAGGGGAATAGAAAATGTGGCACTTGACATGATTGCAGTTTTGCATTAGTTCACATGATTATTTGACATTTTGGTTGATCACACACCGTATTAGTAAAAATGATTTTGAGTGTTAACCTAGAACTCCCCCAAATATATATATTTGATTCTAAATGTTACACGCTTAGACTTAGTAAAATATTTTATGCATTATAAAATGTATACCAAGTATAAAAATTAATAAAAGAATGAATAGTTTTTAAATATTTTTTATTTTTATTTTTATTTTTAAATTATTTTTATTGATTATGCCATTACAATTTTCCCCCCTTTCCCCCGCTCCACCCAACACCCCCTACTCCCTCAGGCTATCCCCACACCATTGTTCATGTCCATGGGTCATGCATTGAAGTTCTACAGGTACTCCATTTCCTACGTTGTACTTTACATCCCCTTGGCTATTCTGTAACTACCTATTTGTACTTCTTAATCTCCTCACCTCTTCCCCCCTCACCCATTCCCCCACACACCCCTCCCATCCAGCAACCATCAAAACACTCTCCATATGTATGATTCTGTCCCTGTTCCTGTTTGCTTGGTTTGTTCTTTTTTTAGATTCAATTGTTGATAGATATATATTTATTGCCATTT